ATCTGCAAGTTGTTAAGGTTGAGAATTCTGGGAGTTGAAGTCCTTCCGTCTTCAAGTTGTTAAGGATGAGAAACATTGTTCTAAGTAGTTGAAACATCTGATAGTGGAAGAGGAGGAGGACAACTGTGGAGTCCTTGGTGTTCTCTGGAATTGGCTGTTTTCTTGCAGACGTCTCATTACGCAACTAGGTAACATCCTCAATGCTAGGGGTGGGGTTTTCTCTTTGCAAGCAAACGTCTTGTATATAAACAGAGAGCAAACCCCACTCCCTTCTAGCATTGCTGTCATGTCCCTGTCGGAATCTGATTCGGAGGGGGAGGCCAAGCAGCCGACAGGGAGTGGGAGCCAACTCTGTTGGCTGTGGAAGAAACTGGGGAAGGGCAAAGTCTGGCTGGGCAGAGCAGGGGAGAGGTAGAACAAGGGAGAGGGAGTTCAGAGGAAGACCCAGGCCCACCCCCTCTTCATCCTAGGGCATGGAGGGAAGAACAGAGAAGGGAGCAACGTGAGTTGCATGGCTTACGGGGGAGGAAAGGGCCCTGATTCCCTTCATTAGCTGCAGCTGGGAACACACTGTTTAAAAGGGAAGCTGGCGCAGCAAACTGTTGGGAGCAAATTATGAATTTATCTGGTATCTTCAAGGCTTATCCGTGTTCCTGGCATCTTTCCAACTGTGTGAGTTTTGTCGTGCTTTCAAGCTTGAAATTTCTTCTCCTGTCAAGTTAATTACCTCAGCTTGGTTTGTTTGGGTTTTTAGTTACAGTCTGTATGTACCTGGTTTTGGACTGAATTTTCTCCAGTCAAAGGCTGTTCCTGGGAGAGTTTTTCTCCAGCCCAGAAGGACATTGGGGGTAAAGTTGGAGATAATAAACTTATTGCTTATTTGACTGTGTTGTCTTTGTGCCACGCCCCTTTGGGTCATCACACATTGAGGATGTTACTTAGTTGGGTCATGAAATGTCTGCAATAAAACAATTAACCTCAGAGAGCACCAAGGACCCCACAGTTCAACCCCGAGCTACAAATATTCTGTTCTACTGGTGGAATTTCTCATAGTAGTAGAAGAAGCTTGGTCGAAAGTCATAATAGAGATATTTGGAGGATTTTGGAAACGGGTCAGACAATGTGGCAATGTGGAATTTTAAGGAAGGAATTTAAGAATCAAAAAGACAGGACAGCTTCCTTCAGGGGAGCAAGAAACACGGGGTGACAATTTCTTTTTCTCCCCTTGTGCCTCAGAAGTGGATCCCTACGTGATCATAAAGTGCGAAGGGGAGAAGATCCGATCACCAGTCCTAAAGAACACTATGACGCCAGAATTTGACGTAAAAGGACTTTTCTACCGCAAGAAACCGAGACAGCCAGTCATAATTCAGGTAAAGCTGTAAGAGTCGCTTTGGACAGTGAGATGAACAACATAAAATAAAATATAAAATAAATAAAAACATAAAATAAAATAAATAAAATGTAAAATAAAATAAATAAAAACGTAAAATTAAATAAATAAAGTACAATAAAATAAATAAAACATAACATAAAATATAACATAAAATAAAATAAATAAAATGTAAAATAAAATAAATAAAACAAAATTAAAATAAAACGTAAAATAAATAAAAACAACACTTTTATTTATTTTAATGTACATTTTATTTTATAGTATGTTTTATTTATTTTATATTACATTTTATTTATTTTAATTTTATGTTTTATTTAATTTTACTATTTATTTTATGTTTCATTTTAATTTTACGTTTTATTTATTTTAAAATAAATAAATGTAAAATAAATAAAATAAAATAAAACGTAAAATAAAATAAAATGTAAAATAAAATAAATAAAACAAAATTAAAATAAATAAAATGTAAAATAAAATAAATAAAAACATAAAATAAAATAAAATGTAAAATAAAATAAATAAATGTACAATAAAATAAATAAAATGTACAATAAAATAAAATGTAAATTAAAATAAATAAAACGTAAAATTAAAATGAAACGTAAAATTAAATAAAATGTAAAATTAAATAAAACATGAAATTAAAATAAATAAAATGTCAAATAAAATAAATAAAACCTACAATAAAATAAAATGTAAATTAAAATAAATAAAAGTGTTGGTTGGGGGTTTTCAATTCAATGTGTGGAGTGGGAAGGATGTGTGTTTGTGTTTATTTTCATGGTCATGATGTGCACTGAAGATGGCGTTTGATTTCGTTGTACGAGGAGCAATGACAATAAAGTAAACTAAAAGAAAGTTGGAGACCGACGCGTCACTGCACGTCAAAGACCAAAAAGCCAATGCAGCCCTAGGCTGCATTAACAAGGGATAGAATCAAGATCACGTGAAGCTTTAATGCCGCTTTATAAGGCCTTGGTAAGGCCACGCTTGGAATCCTGCATCCAGTTTTGGTCGCCACGATGTAAAAATGATGTTGAGACTCTGGGAAGGGTGCAGAGAAGAGCCACAAAGAGGATCAGGCCACTAGAGGATAAAACATAC